TCTAAATCCTTAGATTTTTTGTTTCTTTGAAACAGTAGATTTTTTTGTCTCTTTGAATCGGTAGATTTTATGTCTCTTTCAATCAATAGATTTTTTTCTTTGAATCAGTAGAATTTTTTGCGTTTTCAAATTATCCTTGTATATATTCTCAATGTTTATATTTTAGAGCCTGTTATACCAGGCACTGTTATACCAGGCAGTGGTACAACAGGCAGTGGTATACCAGGCACTGTTATACCAGGCAGTGTTATACCAGGCACTGCTTTACCAGGCACTGTTAAACCAGGCAGTGTTATACCAGGCACTGTTATACCAGGCACTGTTATACCAGGCGCTGTTATACCAGGCAGTGGTATAACAAGCAGTGGTATACCAGGCACTGTTATATCAGGCAGTGTTATACCAGGCACTGCTTTACCAGGCACTGTTAAACCAGGCAGTGTTATACCAGGCACTGTTATAACAGACAGTGGTATACAAGGCAGTGTTATACCAGGCACTGCTATACCAGGCACAGTTATAACAGGCAGTGGTATACCAGGCACTGTTATACCAGGCACTGCTATACCAGGCACTGTTATACCAGACACTGTTATACCAGGCACTGTTATACCAGACACTGTTATACCAGGCACTGCTATACCAGGCAGTGTTATACCAGGCACTGTTATACCAGGCACTGTTATACCAGACACTGTTATACCAGGCACTGTTATATCAGGCACTGTTATACCAGACACTTATACCAGGCAGTGTTATACCAGGCAGTGTTATACCAGGCACTGTTTTACCAGACACTGTTATACCAGGCAGTGTTATAACAGGCAGTGGTATACCAGGCACGGTTATACCAGGCACTGTTATAACAGGCAGTGGTATACCAGGCACTGTTATACCAGGCACTGCTATACCAGGAACTGTTATACCAGGCAGTGTTATACCAGACACTGTTATACCAGACACTGTTATACCAGGCACTGTTATACCAGGCACTGTTATACCAGGCACTGTTATACCAGGCACTGTTATACCAGGCACTGTTATATCAGGCACTGTTATACCACTGTTATACCAGGCAGTGTTATACCAGGCAGTGTTATACCAGATACTGTTTTACCAGACACTGTTATACCAGCACTGTTATACCAGGCAGCGTTATACCAGGCAGTGTTATACCAGACACTGTTATACCAGACACTGTTATACCAGACAGTGTTATACCAGGCAGTGTTATACCAGACACCGTTATACCAACACTGTTATACTAGGCAGCGTTATATCAGGCACTGTTATACCAGGCAGTGTTATACCAGACACTGTTATACCAGGCAGTGTTATACCAGGCACTGCTATACCAGACACTGTTATACCAGGCAGTGTTATACCAGGCAGTGTTACACCAGGCACTGTTATACCAGACACTGTTATACCAGACACTGCTATACCAGCCAGTCTTATACCAGGCACTGTTATACCAGGCACTGTTACACCAGACACTGTTATACCAGGCAGTGTTATACCAGGCAGTGTTATACCAGACACTGTTATACCAGGCACTGTTACACCAGACACTGTTATACCAGGCAGTTATACCAGACACTGTTATACCAGACACTGTTATACCAGACACTGTTATACCAGGCAGTTATACCAGGCACTGTTATACCAGGCACTGTTACACCAGACACTGTTATACCAGGCAGTGTTATACCAGGCAGTGTTATACCAGGCACTGTTATACCAGGCACTGTTACACCAGACACTGTTATACCAGGCAGTGTTATACCAGGCAGTGTTATACCAGGCACTGTTATACCACACTGTTATAACAGGCAGTGTTATACCAGGCGCTGTTATACCAGGCACTGTTATACCAGGCAGTGTTATACCAGGCACTGTTATACCACACTGTTATACCAGGCAGTGTTATACCAGGCAGTGTTATACCAGGCAGTGTTATACCAGGCACTGTTATACCACACTGTTATACCAGGCAGTGTTATACCAGGCACTGTTATACCTGGCAGTGTTATACCAGGCAGTGTTATACCAGGCACTGTTATACTAGGCACTTCTTCGCCAGTTACTGTTCCTTCAGGTGCTGTACTTCCGCTCGGTATCCTCTCTCTCTTTCTCAACACACACATACACATTATATATATATATATATATATATATATATATATATATATATATATATATATATATATATATATATATATATATATATATATATATGGAAGTTAGAGGTATTGGGAAGATGGAGGGAATATTTTGAGGAATTGTTAAATGTTGATGAAGATAAGGAAGCTGTGATTTCGTGTATAGGGCAAGGAGGAACAACATCTTGTAGGAGTGAGGAAGAGCCAGTTGTGAGTGTGGGGGAAGTTCGTGAGGCAGTAGGTAAAATGAAAGGGGGTAAGGCAGACGGGATTGATGGGATAAAGATAGAAATGTTAAAAGCAGGTGGGGATATAGTTTTGGAGTGGTTGGTGCAATTATTTAATAAATGTATGGAAGAGGGTAAGGTACCTAGGGATTGGCAGAGAGCATGCATAGTTCCTTTGTATAAAGGCAAAGGGGATAAAAGAGAGTGCAAAAATTATAGGGGGATAATGTCTGTTGAGTATACCTGGCAAAGTGTATGGTAGAGTTATTATTGAAAGAATTAAGAGTAAGACGGAGAATAGGATAGCAGATGAACAAGGAGGCTTTAGGAAAGGTAGGGGGTGTGTGGACCAGGTGTTTACAGTGAAACATATAAGTGAACAGTATTTAGATAAGGCTAAAGAGGTCTTCGTGGCATTTATGGATTTGGAAAAGGCGTATGACAGGGTGGATAGGGGGGCAATGTGGCAGATGTTGCAGGTGTATGGTGTAGGAGGTAGGTTACTGAAAGCAGTGAAGAGTTTTTACGAGGATAGTAGGCTCAAGTTAGAGTATGTAGGAAAGAGGGAAATTATTTCCCAGTAAAAGTAGGGCTTAGACAAGGATGTGTGATGTCACCGTGGTTGTTTAATATATTTATAGATGGGGTTGTAAGAGAAGTAAATGCGAGGGTCTTGGCAAGAGGCGTGGAGTTAAAAGATAAAGAATCACACATAAAGTGGGAGTTGTCACAGTTGCTCTTTGCTGATGACACTGTGCTCTTGGGAGATTCTGAAGAGAAGTTGCAGAGATTGGTGGATGAATTTGGTAGGGTGTGCAAAAGAAGAAAATTGAAAGTGAATACAGGAAAGAGTAAGGTTATGAGGATAACAAAAAGATTAGGTGATGAAAGATTGGATATCAGATTGGAGGGAGAGAGTATGGAGGAGGTGAATGTATTCAGATATTTGGGAGTGGACGTGTCAGCGGATGGGTTATGAAAGATGAGGTGAATCATAGAATTGATGAGGGGAAAAGGGTGAGTGGTGCACTTAGGAGTCTGTGGAGACAAAGAACTTTGTCCTTGGAGGCAAAGAGGGGAATGTATGAGAGTATAGTTTTACCAACGCTCTTATATGGGTGTGAAGCATGGGTGATGAATGTTGCAGCAAGGAGAAGGCTGGAGGCAGTGGAGATGTCAGTCTAGAGCAATGTGTGGTGTGAATATAATGCAGAGAATTCGTAGTTTGGAAAGTTAGGAGGAGGTGCGGGATTACCAAAACTGTTGTCCAGAGGGCTGAGGAAGGGTTGTTGAGGTGGTTCGGACATGTGGAGAGAATGGAGCGAAACAGAATAACTTCAAGAGTGTATCAGTCTGTAGTGGAAGGAAGGCGGGGTAGGGGTCGGCCTAGGAAAGGTTGGAGGGAGGGGTAAAGGAGGCTTTTGTGTGCGAGGGGCTTGGACTTCCAGCAGGCATGCGTGAGCGTGTTTGATAGGAGTGAATGGAGACAAATGGTTTTTAATACTTGACGTGCTGTTGGAGTGTGAGCAAAGTAACATTTATGAAGGGGTTCAGGGAAACCGGCAGGCCGGACTTGAGTCCTGGAGATGGGAAGTACAGTGCCTGCACTCTGAAGGAGGGGTGTTAATGTTGCAGTTTTAAAAACTGTAGTGTAAAGCACCCTTCGGCAAGACAGTGATGGAGTGAATGATGGTGAAAGTTTTTCTTTTTCGGGCCACCCTGCCTTGGTGGGAATCGGCCAGTGTGATAATAAAATAATATATATATATATATATTATATATATTATATATATATATATATATATATATATATATATATATATATTATATATATATATATATATCGTAATGTATATATATATAAATAAACAATATAGATATATATATAAATATATAGTCTCTTTATATATTCGTCGTCTTAATAGGTAAAAATGCAGTATATTTTTTTCAATTATGTTAATGTAAAAATTAGTAATTTTGTACCAAAAGAACTTTAGATAACTTACCCAACCTTATTATAACAAGAGCAATTTGATTTAGCTTAATCTACATAAATATATTTTAGTTAAGTTTACAATGATTTAATAATAAACAAACACAATAAAATATATTTTTTTCGTTAGGTTCAGTATGATTTTTTCGTAATTATTGCATTCACAAATTTTCGCTTGCCTTATTCGGCAAGAAGAGCGTTGCTATTTAAGCCAAAATCGCAAGTTTTAACTATTCGCACGATATATATATATATATATATATATATATATATATATATATATATATATATATATATATATATATATATATATATATATATATATAGTAATACATAAGTGTGTGTGTGCGCGCGCGCGTGTGTGTTTATATTTAACAAATGTAGTTTAACAAATGTAACAAATACATATTATAATGATAATAATCCAATGTAAATTTAACTATATTATTATTATTATTATTATTATTATTATTATTATTATTATTATTATTATTATTATTATTATTAAAATTATTATTATTGTTGTTATTATTATTATTGTTTTTGTTGTTAAATTATGAATATTTTATTACTAATAATAATAATAATAATAATAATAATAATAATAATATCACGTACCTGAGAGAGGGATCCGGTGCAAGTACAGGGCACGTACGTACGTCACACCCTTGACGTTGCAGCAACAGCGCAGTGGCAGGGTAGTGTACTATCCCCTGCGCCGAACTATCACAAACAACACTATCACAGCTCTGCATCACAAAAAGGGGACTTGAGATATATATATTTACACATATATCAGGTAGGTAGGTGTACAACAGTCTTGTCTGTCCCGTGGCGAGCGGACGGAGGACTGAGCCTCCACCAAGTTCAGGGCTTCAAGCAAACTAGGATTTAAACTTTCATCACAAGATCCCTCTGCTGGCTGATACGGCACTCATTGCACTACCAGAGTGCCATCATGACCGATAGTTGAGCTCGGCGGATAGTTGCCCATCGTTAGGGATAGTCAGGCACATGTCTGGCTCCCTGACTGCTTGCCACTCAGGTGCTGATACCCAGTTGGGAGGCCTATCATGTATGGCAACCACGTACATAGGGATGAGAGGGAAGGATGGTGTTAGTGCCTATCCGCCCCCCGATCCACCGCCCTAGCCACTTATCGATCCACACACGCACACACACACACACACACAGTAAGGTCTATCTATCCTTCAGTAGGGGGGTGACCGGGGATCGAAGTGGTGGTGGTGGTGGTGACCAACACTCTTAACACCCGCACCCGCCGACCGTCCAGGGAACACTGAGTGTGTGTGTCTCTCCCTTCTCTCTCCCTTCTCTCTCTCTCTCTCTCTCTCTCTCTCTCTCTCTCTCTCTCTCTCTCTCTCTCTCTCTCTCTCTCTCTCTCTCTCTCTCTCTCTCTCTCTCTCTCTCTCTGTCTCTCTGTCTCTCTGTCTCTATCCATCTCTATTCTCTCTCTCTCCTCTCTCTCTCCCTGCTCTCTCTCCCTCTCTCTCCTTCCTCTCTCTCCCTGCTCTCTCTCCCTCTCTCTCCCTCCTCTCTCTCTCCCTCCTCTCTCTCTCTCCTCCTCTCTCTCTGTCTCTCTCTCTCTCCCTCCTCTCTGTCTCTCTCTCTCTCCCTCCTCTCTGTCTCTCTCTCTTCTTTCTACCACATATTTCAACATCAATTAAGCATCAATCATTACTTCATGCTAAAGCTCACATAACTTCAGGTCAAAACTCTAAAGAACAACAAAAGCTTCTTCGACAAAACCCCCCCCTTTTCAACCCCCCCCCCCCTTCAACATTTCGATCTAACACAGAGCTTACAAGGTGCCGTTTAAGTCACCTTCTAAAACAGAAAAGACAGGTAACCTGTCATCTCTAGTACCCAATTTGTTGCCATATTCCAAATGTCTAGCAGACAGTCGAGACGTGATCGATCCTCTGACCGGTAATGTTCTTGAGCATGGCTGTAGCCGGAATGAAACCGCATGGAGCTGCCCGTCTTGTGGTGTAACGACTGTCTTCCTCCTGGGCACCGAGATGGGCCATGTTCGAAGCGCTGATAGTATATTTCCTTTAATACAGCAGAGCCTCAACATCTTATAGTGTAGAATAATAATAATAATAATAATAATAATAATAATAATAATAATAATAATAATAATAATAATAATAATTTATTATTGTTGTTATAATTATTTATTATTATTATTATTATTATTATTAATTATTATTATTATTATTATTATTATTATTATTATTATTATTATTATTATTAACATTATTATTATTATTATTATTATTATTATTATTATTATTATTATTATTATTAACATTTTCATTATTATTATTTTATTATTATATTGTTATCATCATCATTATTATTAAGATGAAGCACTAAAACCGTGCGGGTGACTGAGCTTACAGAGTGATGGAGGATGCATCTAATGTCCACCCTGACCTTCACGAGGCAGGTCAGGGAGGTGCCTCGGTGCCGGTGAAGATCCAAGGAATTGGAACCACTCTACACTTGCTTGGATCAAATCCCCAATTAAATCCCATTTTCAAGCTCTGTTATGACCCTTTGTGACATTTTTTTGGCCGTTGCCTCGTGAATATAATAATAATAATAATAATAATAATAATAATAATAATAATAATAATAATAATAATAATAATAATAGTAAGAGAAGAAAAAGAAGAAGAGAAGACAACAATTTTAACAGCCATAATATTAAATTTAAAAACAGAGAGAGGCCAGTGTAGCATCATACCATCTGTTATTTAATAAGATTTACACACTTGTAAGTGTCTTCCGTCGACTCTGTTTTATACCTGGGTATGTACGAGTATATACACCTACAGTTGTATGTCTCTCAGTGTATATATGCCGAGAGGTGTATGTCTCTCAGTGTATATACACCGAGAGGTGTGTCTCTCTCAGTGTATGTACACCGAGAGGTGTATGTCTCTCAGTGTATATACACCGAGAGGTGTATGTCTCTCAGTGTATATACACCGAGAGGTGTGTCTCAGCGTATATACACCGAGAGGTGTATGTCTCTCAGTGTATATACACCGAGAGGTGTATGTCTCTCAGTGTATATACACCGAGAGGTGTGTCCTCTCAGTGTATGTACACCGAGAGGTTGTCTCTCTCAGTTATGTAACCGAGAGTGTATGTCTCTCAGTGTATATACACCGAGAGGTGTATGTCTCTCAGTGTATATACACCGAGAGGTGTATGTCTCTCAGTGTATATACACCGAGAGGTGTATGTCTCTCAGTGCATATAGACCGAGAGGTGTGTCTCTAAATGTATATATACCTAGTGGTGTATGTCTCTCAGCTTATATACACCGAGAGGTGTGTCTCTCAGCGTATATACACCGAGAGATGTATGTCTCTCAGCGTATAAATTACAGCCGAGAGGTGTGTCTCAGCGTATATACACCGAGAGGTGTATGTCTCTCAGCGTATATACACCGAGAGGTGTATGTCTCTCAGCGTATATACACCGAGAGGTGTGTCTCAGCGTATATACACCGAGAGGTGTATGTCTCTCAGCGTATATACACCGAGAGGTGTGTCTCAGCGTATATACACCGAGAGGTGTATGTCTCTCAGCGTATATACACCGAGAGGTGTATGTCTCTCAGTGTATATACACCGAGAGGTGTGTCTCAGCGTATATACACCGAGAGGTGTATGTCTCTCAGCGTATATACACCGAGAGGTGTGTCTCAGCGTATATACACCGAGAGGTGTATGTCTCTCAGCGTATATACACCGAGAGGTGTGTCTCAGCGTATATACACCGAGAGGTGTATGTCTCTCAGCGTATATACACCGAGAGGTGTGTCTCAGCGTATATACACCGAGAGGTGTGTCTCAGCGTATATACACCGAGAGGTGTATGTCTCGCAGCGTATATACACTGAGAAACTACCTACATCTCTATTTTTAAGTCATGTCTTCTTGTCTGGTGGTGAAAGGTTACGTGCAGGTTAATGTCCCCCGTAGTATAATCGATAGGCTTTAAATCCCACATTAACCGACCAAGTTATAGCACTTCTACCCTTACAGGTTTAGCTCTTAGTTATGATTATAATAAAAATAATATAGCACTTCTTTTTAGTGATATGCTTGGAGGTTTACACCCTTGTGAAGGATGCCATTGCGCGAGCCTCTTGTTTTTCATTTGAGCCTTCTGCCGTAGGCAGGAGGCCTGTTATCTAGGCCTATTCGATAACATGCTAAGCAGGGCCATGCACCTCGTTTGAACGAACGTAACGAAGATGACCCCAAAGATCTCACTTTCTTCTCGCATTTTCAGGTGAATCCTCTCCCTGCTGCCTCACAACTTAAACTGACTCAGCTTCCATGTTTTCTTCCCATTTTCGCTCTCAACTATGATCTGATAATGATCCAGGACGGACAGAAACGTTGTGTTATGTTTCGTCTCCTAAGGTCGGCTTGTTTGTGGACTATTCCAGCAACTGTGAATTTTATTCTCCTACTTTATTTTTTTTTATTGACCACATGAAATTATTAAAGAACGTTACTAACACTGCTGTGATTTTTATGCAAAGGTTCGGTTGTTTACTTATGCAGATGATCGTGTGATACTGAACAGTTAGGTAATCAACTGTTAGCTAATACAGAGGATAATGTGACATTCAGTAATTTAGTAATCAATTATTGGCTAATACGGTTGATCCGTCTCGGCGCCGTTACAATTCTCGAAGACTCAACCCTCACGGCAGGGTATGAAAATTCCCAGAATTTACCATGCGCTAAGTCCAGCCAACTTGTTCTGGCTCTGTCATGCATTAGGCTAGAAGATAACCATCATATTATATTCATTGAGAAGGGGAGGTGATAGGATTTCATTCATGGAAGGAAAAGGTACCTCCAGCCTCTCGGTTCAAGAGCCCTTCGCTGGCGTCAGGGTTTCTCCCTTGAAGGTATAACTAATAATAGATTCGTTGATTTATCACAGGGCTTTTTCCTTGCTTTTGTTAGATGACTGTTGTTGCTGTTTTAGTTTAGGTTAAGGGCTGCGACGGCTTGTGCCGCACGAGCACTGCTACAAGAAGTTTAGGTGTCTAGACGAACACTTAATTAACGCTTATATGCTGCCCAGCGTACCATACCACGGGCGGGATTGAACCCGCGGTCAGAGAGTCTCAAAACTCCAGACCGTCGCGTTAGCCACTGGACCAGCTAGCCACAAAAGATTCGTCCAACTAGGTATATTTCTACACCATAGGAAGGTTAGCATAGGCACCACTGTGACCACAGATGCAAGTGGTGCCTATGCTAACCTTCCTATGGTGTAGAAATATACCTAGTTGGACGAATCTTTTTGTGGCTATCTGGTCCAGTGGCTAACACGACGGTCTGGAGTTTTGAGACTCTCTGACCGCGGGTTCAATCCCGCCCGTGGTATGGTTTGTTTGCAATCGTATCATTACGATTTCGTGAGTCCTGCCCAGCGTGCCCGTGGCACAGAGACACGAATACCTGGCACTTAGACTGGAACGACTGCCTCAAAGAAGTAGGACTGGAACACTATCTGGATGGTGTACTGTTGACATTATTTAAGAAAACGGAAATACGTTATTGCACAATCATTAACTCGGACACGGTTTCGCTCTCTTAGAACTTTAACAAAGCTCTACAAAGCTCTACACAGAGTGAAACGTTATCCTAATGAAAGCAGATTGTGCAACATGTGTCTCGTCTGGAATGATTGGAACATGCAACTCACAGGGCTAGATTCTGACTGAGTCTGCTACGAGAATGATCAGGTAGGACGTTCCACCGAATCGAGCTACAACACCGGGTGTCGACCAGGTGTAACTGGGAGATGTGTGCTGTCGGCAAAATTAAGTCCAGTGCGAAGACGCACACACCTGGGCAACATACGGGAGACAACGATCCAAATGATGTTTCTACTCACCAAAAACATGTGCTGCTTCTTCACGATGCTTGTAGCTTGCTAAGAAACTTGGATATCCTCCCGACGAGCGCACAGATTTTGGTGTGTTACTACTCTTGTTGTGTTGGTTTGTCTCTCGTTTGTCACTGCTGTATTGGTTCAGTGATGTCTCTTATTTGTTACTCTTTATTTTGTTGGTTGATTGTGTTTGTTGTCGTTGTTAGACACTTGCCATTTCAGTTCACCGAAAAGAAATCTCACTAAGGAGAGGACTCTTATGACGAAGTCTCGGTCCGTCCTCGACTACTGTCTAGTCATAAATTGGGCGAGAGTTGT